GAATGCCAGCAGAGAACCGAGTGAGGAGCTCAGCAAGCTCTGGGCCAGACATTTTTAGTGAAAGGATTGTTGTTTTACTATGCTTCCTCCTCTTGTCAACCATTATAGATAGAAAGTTCTCACTTGTGATGAAGAGTCTTGTAGTTCTTCTTGTCTGTCGGTTAACTGTATTGTTGGTGTTGTGAAGTCGCGAGCGGAGGGGCCTAAGATCTATTCCCTAGCAATACCACCATCTAACATTGGCAAGCATTTTGGGCAGCTACTGGAAAGTGGAAAGGGAACTGATGTAAAGTTTGAAGTCGATGGTGAACATTTTTCAGCTCACAAGTTAGTACTAGGAGCACGATCACCTGTATTCCAGGCCCAACTTTTTGGTCCTATGAAGGATCAGAATACCGAATGCATAAAAATTGAAAGATATGGAGGCTCCAGTCTTTAAGGTATAACACTTTTCTAATTTTTGTTTTTCAGCAAACTTGTATTGTTTCTGCCATTTATTTGCGTGGCGGATGGGAACTGACTGCTGTGGTTATTTGCTATATGAATTGGACGAAACTACGGATATTGAAATTTTGATGTTTCACAACTTCATCCACAAAGAACTTTCCTTCAATGATGATTATTCTGTAAAATTGTCTGTTTGAAGATGATGGTTTGTTTGAAGGTGGTCATTTTCCAGATTTTTATGCTGCAATGCGTTGCACATTTTTATTTCTTTTTGATTTTTTGTTTCCATTTTTTCCCGAGGGAAAAGGGGAGGTGGATTGGCAGTGCACTGTCTTAGTTGACATAAGTGACACAAGACATTGACTATTTTGTACGAAGAATGACTTGCCAATTTACTCTATTTTCCCATGTGCAGGCTTTGCTTCATTTTATATACTGGAATTCACTGCCCGACGTAGAAGAGCTTACTGGTTTTAACTCAAAATGGGCTTCTACTTTGATGGCCCAGCATCTGCTTGCAGCAGCAGATCGCTATGGCTTAGAAAGGCTCAGGTTGCTATGTGAATCAAATCTCTGCGAACATGTCGCTATCAATACTATGGCAACAACATTAGCGCTGGCAGAACAGCATCACTGCTTCCAGTTGAAAGCCGTGTGCCTCAAGTTTGTCGCAATGCCTGAAAATCTTGGAGGTGAGCCTTTTTTTAATTTCTGTTTTTTTTTTTAATAATCGGGACTATCCATGCTTAATATTTGTGAATCTCAAGGCTATAGTAAAAAATCTCTTAGAAATTAGAATCCACTACATGATCTGTGAGAATTTTGCTTGTAAGGATGTAAAGCTTTATTCTATTGTTGGATATAGTGGTGTTATTTATTGGAATTGACTATAACCATAAGTAATTTCTCAATCTCAGCCGTAATAATGCCTTTTCTGGTTATATTATGTCTAACAACTATATAAAACTGTATTTTTTTTTTTTATAGAAAAAATAAAACAGTAATTTGTGATCACAATATAATTCTAATCTTTTTTGTTTATCAGCTGTGATGGAAACCGACGGTTTCGAATACTTGAAGCAAAGTTGTCCCTCTGTAATGACTGACCTTCTGCAGTATATAGCCAGTGAGCATCACGTTACCGTTTCCAGGCATGGAAATGAAGCTGTTCTTGATGGCAGCGATATCAATGGGAGGCGGGTGAAACAAAGGCTATAGAAATAGCTGCTTCTATTACACGTTCTGTGCAGGAAAAAAAAAAAAGTCTATGAAGAAGCAAAGAGGGAGATATCAGAAAAATTATTTCTAGGATTAGAAATAATGTACCAGTTATTGTAAGAAATGTTGGTTTGTAATGTAATGGCTTTTGTTTCTATGTATTTCTCCTTTTGTTACTCTAGTGCTTGTAGAAGCTCGAGAGAGAGAAGAGGGTAAAAGGTTTGATTGCAATTTGAAAGAACTAGGATACATATCTCAATTTCTATCCAAAAAAGAAAATGATACATATCGTAATAATGATAAAAAAAATTCCTTTGGTGCTTGCTTTTCCTAATGCATAAATGAGATTCAGAGTATTAAAAGATTAAATATCAAACTGTCAAAGTTATACTCACATATCAAATGAACTTCAAATTTTCTACAAGCAAGCAAGGCGTGGTCACGATTAAAAAAATGAAAAATGAAAAATGAAAAATGAAAAGATAATCAAATACAAGACTTTTCCTTTTTTTTGTTTTGTTTTTGTTTTGAGAAATTGGTATTTCTATACAACAAAATAGACTATCTGATCTATTTTCTAACTAGAAAAAAAGACAATATCTGTTTATTTTCGACCTTAAATTTTTTAGTGCGAATTATTATCCTTGTTAGGTTGAGATTAAAAGTTTTAATAATTGTTTTGGGTGGCACATCTTGCAGGTGTGCCGAAATCTTTTAAAAACTGTTTTTTTACAGGTTTAAATTTTTAGATAATAAGAAAAATATGTTGTTATAATGCCGAAATTTTATTAAAATCTATTAATTGTAAGAATTTAATTAATAAGAATTAGTTATATTTATAAAAAGAAAATTAAAAATTCATTATAAACATTATTAGTACAACAATAAAAAAATAACTTGTTCATAAAATTTGATAAAACTTATAAAATTGAAGCATGAAATATTAAACTTTCTTTATAAACGTGATTATATTGTCACAAGAAAACATGAATTATGATTAGATGTGTTATTATTTTTATAGTCAAGATGTCAATTGACAAGAGTTGGATACATCTAAAAAATCAGTAGTCTAATCAGTATTGGGAAGGGTTGTCTGCGTTTATTAATATTGCCAAAGATTATGTCGATAAAAGCGGTTATACAAGTTGTCCGTGTCGGAGGTGTTTAAACTATAAGTATTTTCCAGTAGAAATAGTTAGAGCACACATACACCAATATGGTTTCAATCCTTTATATACGACGTGGTATTATCATGGCGAAGATGATGTTGCGACCAATCCAATAAATGAATCAGTTGACGAGATGGTTGCAGTTATACAAGACGTTGTTGGAAATAACTCTGATCATGATATGCAGGAGGAAGTAGAAGTTGAAGTGTTAGGTGATGCGCAGTACGATGAATTTAAAGAGTTGTTATCTGAGCTCGAATTGGCATTGTATCCCGGGTGTACTAAATATTCCTCATTGAATTTTTTGGTGAAACTCATGCATTTAAAGGTGCTGCACAAATGGTCCAATGAGTGTATGAACTCTGTTTTGAAGCTGTTGAAAGATGCATTTCCTAAAGGAATTAAACTTCCATATTCGTATTACGAGGCGAAGACGAAATTAGGTAAACTCGGTTTGGGCTACAAAATAATACATGTCTGTAAGTATGATTGTGCACTATAACACAGCCTCCACCTGATCCGACGAGACTCCCAGCACATTGTCAATCAGGTAGTATACGCTATAACACATGCTCCTAAAACTTGTTACTTGTCGAACTCTCTATAATCAAATTTTGTTATTTTTATTTTCGTACAGTTTCGGAGCTGACATCTCAACGTTGGTCTGGTTGAGGAGTAGCTATAGGTCGAGATATAGTAGAGAAAGTACACAAAGATGGGAAGCTCGATGTTACATTTAACGAGATAGGTTCGTGGAAGGCGATTTGCGAAAACGCCAAATATTTTGATAGTGCTGTCGGC